TTCCGCCCACCAAAAAAACTATTTTATTACTAAAAGCAACTAAGATCATTAAGTCTATTATAAAAAATGACTATTGCCTTCAACTAATATAACAGTTTTCCCGTTTGTATTTCGAGGTAATCACGTTTATGCGAGACATAATCTAAGACTCAAAATCGAGCCCAGACGATTTTATACAGGAATATTGATGGGGAATAATTAATAAATTAAAAAACGAACACAATCCCCGTCTACCAATGAGTATTACGTGTGGTAACCAGTAAAAAAGATATATACATATGCCCAGATATTTGCAAACTTGTTCTAGCTACTTTGGCTCTTCGGTATACATTTACTTATCAATGAAAGCGTTGCTAAAATTTTGATGTGAAGCGAATTGTGGGGGGATCCAGAGAATACAGTCAACCATTTTACCGTGAAATAAAATGACGATGCCTGGTTGGGAAAAAGAATAAATGAAGTTTATCGGCGGTTATTGGCCATCAATGAACCACAAGGTCCGATAGGTGGCTTATGCTCAAAAATTGTATAGGATTGCAACACAATTTATTGATACATAATCCCTCTTAAATTCACAATTTAAGAGTTTTGGCAAAAAGGAATTATCCAGATTTCCCATTATTTTAAAACGCCTCTAACACCCCTAAAGATAAGTTAGCAAGGAAACTTCAAAGTATCGACTGGCATAGGTTCAATAAACCATAAATTAACTGAAAGCAAGAGTTCGAACATCATTGCGGTTAAATGTATAGGTAAATGCAAATGCAAATTAGAATTTCGACAAGAACTTACTGCTATAGTTGCAGGAGTATGGCCAGATATTTTCAAACTTTCTCTAGCTACTTTGGCTCTTCAGTCTACATTTCCTCATCAATAAATGCGTTTTTAAAATTTTGATGTGAAGCGAATTGTGGGGGGATCCAGAGCACACATAGTCAACTATCTAGCTGTGAAATAAAATGATGATGCTTGGTTGGGAAAACGAAAAGATGAAGTTTAGCGGCGGTCATCAGCCATCAGGGAGCCGCAAGTTCCGACAAGTGGCTTATGCTCAAAAAATTGTATAGAATTGCAACACAATTTCTCCCTCTCCCTCTCTTAAATTCACAATTGAAGAGACTTTTGGCAAAAGGAATGTGATCCAGATTTCTCATTAATTTAAAACGCCTCCAACACCCCTAAAGACAAGTTAGCAAAGGAACCTCAAGGGATCGACTAATATAAGTTCAACAAACCATAAATTAACTGAAAGCAGGAGTTCGAACATCATTGCGATTCAATGTATGGGTAAATGCAAATGAAAATTAGAATTTCGACAAGAACTTACTGCTATAGTTGCAGGAGTATTCAAATAAATGATGCAACGGATGTCTGGCCTAGATTCGTAAATGGCGGCGTGAAGCATCCAACCAGGCCTATCAATGCCCAGTACAGTAGAGCCTTGGTCAATTATGGTACCTGGAAGTAATTACCAACCAATTAAGTCATTCCAAACGTTGGAGAATAAAATAGCAAGTAAGCATACCTTTGATATCAAGTTTTATGAGCGAAGATGCAGTGATTTCATGGAAGAGAAGGCCTTGAGGATTGACTAAATAATGCTCCGATTCTCGCGCTAGACGAGCCTAAATGGGTATCAACTAAAATCATGAGCCGTACAGTAATGGGATTTAAAGAATTAACATTCCAACGAAAAAGGTCAGATAAACGAAACGTTGATGCCAATTTGCAGCGAATCATTCGCTCGAATTTCGAATACACTGGCTTTTCTCCGGTACGCAAGTCGTTGACCGGTACGACGGGCATGGTCGCACCTAAGAGGTAAAATGAAATGCTTATATGGATAAAATAAAAGGTCAGTAATAGTCTAAAATAACATAAACATCCGGATCCTACATCTCGTGAAGGCAGAAAAGCCCAATCTCGTATGAGGTGTAAGAACATCGGCTATTTCCTTGAGAGCCAAGAGACTGCCAGATAGTTGGCCAGATTTCATGTGAGACGCAATAGTCTTATCCAACTCATTTCGGAATGAGCCCGAATGCAAAACGAGGGTAACACGCCCTCGCTGTTCCATGAGCCTAACATCTTCGGTGACTGCAGGGGGCCTTAAAAGCTGACGAATGTACTCCGAGTCATCAGGATCTAGGATCATAGGTAATTATATTTAATTACCAACAGTATCAAAAAATTTCGCATGAGGAACACCGTTTTCCACCATTATGGCCATCTTGAAATGAATAAGGCGAGAGAGAACAAAATGAGAAGGGTGAAAAAGAGAGCGCCTTAAGAGCTCTCCGCCATTGAGTAAGCTTTAAATGTCCTCGACTGATCTAAAATGAAACATATATATAAAAATTATAAAAAAGATTCCTTCTTAAAATGATTTAAAAAAATTAAACTGCTTAATTATGAATATTTGACCCCAAAAATGAATATTAATTACGATGAATATGGAGGATATAAAAAGTAAAAGTGATAATTTTTGATGTAAATGATTCTGGACCATTAATCTGAACTGGTGGAACTTCCCGAAGATACACTGCTACGGTGATTAACTTTGAGAGATCGGTTTATCACCTAATCGGTCTACTAAAATAGATTGCAAAATCTGTTCTCTTAGTTCGATAGAAATCATTTAGATGTATTAATTGTTATAGTGTGCATTCAAATAAGCTGACTTATCTTATTTGTAGTCTCAAAGTTTTTGGATTTATAAAATATGAATTAGTT